CGGGTTAAATATTCATGTTGATTGATTTGAACTATGCTTAATTACCAAAAAACATTTCCTATTTTGTTCTTACAAATAAAACTATTTTTTTGTTAACATTGTAATAATATACATTACATTTTTTCTTTAGTTTCTCCAAAGCATATATATATATATATATAGAGGGAGGATTCAATGAGTCCACTCCTTAAAATGAGTTCACTCCTTAAAATATATATTAATTAAATAATAAAAAAATTATTAGTTGACTTCCAGCGTTGACGTTAACTTCCGTCGAAAAATCGTTGACTTTCGACGTTGACCGTTAACTTCCGACGTTGACCCGTTGACCCCTAGTATGCATTATATGTATAAGTAAATATGCATCCACTATCATGCATTCAATATGAACTAAATATGCATGGGATATGAATTGCACATGCAGTCCTTATGAACTAAATATGCACCAATAATATCAACTAAGTATGCACCTGTTATGAACTAAATATGCATATGTTATGATCTAAATATGCATCATGAATGAACTAAATATGCAGCGAAAAATATGCAATAAAATGTGCATTTTACATAGGTAATTTATGATGCATATTTCGTTTATTTATTATGAATATTTAGGTAATTTATGATGCATATTTAGTTAATACGAAATGCATACTTGTTATATTTAAATTAAATATATAATAATATTATATAATTAATTTATTATGCATATTTAGTTAATTCATGATACATATTTAGTTCTTACGAATTGCATATTTAGTTCATGAACAGTGCATACCTATTTTATTTGAGATCCAATCATAACAATATATTTGTGTTATTAATCAATTTAAATTTAAATTAATTATATAATAAAAATTATTAATTATTATATTAAATTTAATTGCATAAAATGTATATTTTATTGCATACTTTTTTTGCATATTTAGTTCATTCCTGATGCATATTTAGTTAGTAAAATGTGCATACATAATTGATATTATTGGTGCATATTTAGTTCATAAGAATGACATATATAATTCATTTCTTATGCATATTTAGTTCTTACTAAGTGCATAGTGATGTATACATATTTACTTCATACGCAATGCATACTATGGGTCAACGGTCAATGCTGAAAGTCAACACCATAAGTCAACGGTCAACGCTGGAGTCAACGGTAAACGCCGAAGTCAATGGTCAAATGTCAAAATAATATTTAAATAATTAAAATAATAAAGAAAAAGAATAAAGTAATATAAATAAAGAATTGTTATAATTGAAGAGTTAAATCTTGGTCACACATCATGTGCCAATCTAGTGGCTAGGAATGAGTCTCACATTCACACTTTAAATATGTGGACTCATTGGATCCAATCTATATATATATGTGTGTGTGTGTGTGTTGTGTGTGTGTGTGTTTGTGTGTGTATCAGTGCGTAATGCGTCGCGTTTTAATCTTTATACAGCGTAGCGTGGTGCGTAAGCTATTTGGGTATAATTTTTTTTTTTACAGAAATATCACAAGTATATTTGCATATAATAAAAATGAATGGTTGATTACAAAAGATATCATAATATTTGAATGAATTCAAAAATAACATCTAAGGATTAATTCTCACAAATATTTAATGTAAATATCATCATAATATAAATATTTAATAATAACCTTATATACTAAAAAGTAAAAACAAAAAACAAAAATATAATGAGATAAATCATAATATAATTTTAAATATATATATTTTATTTATTATTTTTTCTTTAACTACAACTTAATTCTAACCATTAGATATGAACTTTTTATTTTTGTTTATATGTCAAATTTCGAAAAATAAAATGATATAACAAAAAGAGACCAAAAAATATTGCACTGTTCAACTTAGAACTTTACATTTTAAAACTTTTAATTTGAAATCATTATCAAAATTTTTAATTTTTTTTTAAATTATCATTTGTAAATATGACTCTGATCCCTAAAAAAATACGAGTTTTTTTTTTAATATTTTAGTGTTCAAATGTTGTTGCAAAAATATAACGCAATGTAGCGCACAATAACGTGAAATCGCAAAATAGCGTAAGAAAGCGTGTCGTTTCAACATTTCGCGTAAGCTTTTCGGGAAAACGCTAAATATATAAGGCTCCGTCGCAATTTTTCGAAAAAAAACTATATAGTGAACTATTTAAAACAATGGTATGTATCAATAATTCTGGATTCTGATATGCTATTTCATTATTTAAACCTATATCAATTTTCAAATTATGACGAAATGCAAGGTAGATTGGAGTGCAGTCTACCAATACATTAGGTCATTTGATCTTAAAACCAGACGGATGCAGAAGAGAATGCGTCACTTTCAAATATT